GTTGTGATTGATTTCATGGTAAAATGTTATATGCATGTTCATATTGTGTTTAAGTCCATGATTTCATCTTGTCCTTGAAGAATTGGCTCACTAGAGCATGAATTGAAGCTGTGAAATGGTTTAAATTCATAACATGTTTAGCTTGATTTATGTTCATGAGAATTGGTTTCAAATTGAGTTGAATTGATCTTCCTTTGGGGCTTTGATTTTACAATTGAGCTTTGATCATGTTAAACTATGAGTTTTGATGTGTTTTCCAAGCAAACTAGACCAAGAGGATCGAAATTTATGTTTTAAAACTTGGTTTTGAGCTTGAGGTTCAAATCTGGAATTTCCAGAATTTGGACTCACGCTTGAGCGGGGTGACTGGCGCTCGAGCGCTGAAATTCGTGCTCCCAGTACTTTTGCACTATTTTGATGTGCTGCTCGAGCGGGATAATTGACTCGAGCGGGACATTGTGTCTCATGCTCGAGCATGTGTCGGCGCCCAATCGAGCGTGATTTTCACCTATCCAGCACTTTTGACTGTTTTGCTGAACGCTCGAGCGGGTAATTCTACGCTCGAGCGGAACCTTGTCTGCATGTCCGCTCGAGCGGAGTAACTACGCTCGAGCGTGACCCCTGTTTCTGAAAATTCTGAAAATGCTTTTAAAGTGTATCTTTGCACTCTCATCTCATCCTAGGCATTATTAGGCCTAGTTTAAGGCATCTTAATGAGGATATAAATGGAGAACCGCACCGAGGCGCATTAGGGATTAAGTTATTATTTTTCCAACTGTGTAGTTAGTGTGTGTTCAAATCTGTAACTGTGTAGGGTTGGCGACTGGGGACGCGCTCTAGCTTTACTGTAGCCCAGTACTCTGTGAGTAACAACTGTGTAAAGATATGTTCAAAATGATTATCTTCTGAACAAATGAACTGTACTGCCTTCTGAACTGATACTGTTAATTGAATGAATGTATGTCCTATATTCTGAACTGTATTGTGGCATCCTTAACAACTACTGTTTACCGTTACTGTTACAGAGATCTCTGTCGGTTCCCTTGTTGGAACCACTACTGTTTACTGATTGATGGCCATCATTTACTGTTCGGTCTTTTAAGACCTATTGTTTACTGTACTGTTATGCTAATAGATGTACCACATATGACTGAATGACTGATATACTGAATTAACGAACTGTTTTCATTACTGTAAGGACATTCATTCTTAACCCCTTTACGCATTACGTTATTCACTAGGCTTTAGCTCACTGCTCATATATATATGTAGGTGTACAGGCACCAAACCATGGTTAGAAGCGTCGGGGTAAGCTCCAATTTTGTCAAGCCAACCACTGTGCCTCACTGCGAGGTTCCGAGCTCGTGAAGTTATGGCTTAGGGGTGTTTTAATTTCCCCGTTTGTCTCTGTATCTGTTGTATAACTGTATAGACTGTTACTGGACTGTTTAATAGGGATTAGGTCCCTGAACTGAATGATTGTATATATGTACATACTGTTCTATACTGTTCATGTATATGTGTATGAAAAGTCTTTTTGGCATACAGGCTGTCACAGCTCATTGGACATTGTTTATTTACTGTTTTGGCTTCCGTCATGCCCATGTACTCTGTTTTACAGTATTACTGCTAAGCAGGCCTTCGATAATCTTGGATTATTGGCCGGTTACGGTGCTAAACCCATAGGGACGGGTTTGGGTCGTGACAGATGGGAAGATCGATGGAGCCGATGGAGGTCACCCGATCACCAGTAAAACTGACCAATGAAGTTTGGAGAGGGGACAGGCTTTCTTCCCTGATCTTGAGCTGGTGGAAGCAATTTAAGAAAATGATGTTGGAGGAGTTGCCATTGTCGATGAGAACCCTTCTGACCTCGTAGTTAGAGAGGAGGGTAGAGATGACGAGAGGGTCGTCATGAGGGTAACGGATGCCTGTGCAGTCAGTGTCCGTAAAGGTGATAGGCTCCGTCCACTGTTTGGGCTGTTTGGAGGGTCGATCCAATGTGGCAACTTCGTTGTCTGAGCCTTTCCTTATTTTCCTGAGTTCTGCCCGCTGAGCCGAGCGTGATGGTCCTCCACAAGCAAGCCCGCCGGAAATAACTCTGATTTCTCCAACAGGTGGAGCGGGATTACCTTGCGCTCGAGGTTGCTGCGGAGGGCGATCATGGCTTTGGTTAGGTTGGGTTGGCTACCGGGGAGGGGTGCGCCGGCGGTTATTTCTGATGGGCTCAATCCTTTGCCTCTGCTGAGGGCGGGTGTCCGTGAACCGACTAAGACGTCTCTGACATATTAAGTCTCGACTTGATTTTTGAGGTTAACACACTCACCGGTATTATGGCCATGGTCATGGTGAAAACAGCAATATTTGGACTGGTCTTTCCGACTGGAAGGGGCTCGTGATGGGATGATACAGTTATGATGTAGTGGGTTCCAGGTAGAACGGGTCGGACTGATCCACGCTTCTCGAGCCGGTATCCAAGTGATCAAGCCCACTAGAGAACCTGCGCAAGAGTTCAACAGGGAACGGGGAGTCCCCCTGCGAACCCTCCGATGAGCAAGTTAGAGAGAGAAGTGGAAAATGTAGATAGATTAGAGATAGAAAAGCTTAACCTTCTTCTTGTCTTCAAAATCTGCTTATATCCTCTGGTAATCATTTCGTTGTCCCTTCCGACCTGTCATCTTGGCCAAAAGTCTATGCTGTAGCTTACTTTGTTCAGGGTGAGGGCGTGTTGTCCCGACGGAGAGGGGTTATCGCAATAAATGCTGTAAGGGGTCTCATTAATGACGATGTGGCATAGCAATAACTTTGCAGATCTTTGCCTGTTGCTGTGGCTTGCCTTTATCTTGCCATGTGTCTTGATGCCATTGGTTCTTATTGCTATGTGGGGCTTCAGTAGTGCTGGGCTTCATTAATTGGATTATGTATTGGGCCTTAAGTGGTGGACTTGGGTTGTTCATAGTGGGCTGTAGCCTTTATGGGCCTACCCATGTTAGTAGTCCCCCATTTCCAAGTGCAGCTTTAGTCCAACGAAGGGAATAATGAAGAAAATGAGGGTTGTTAGAGACCAGCAGGATAGAGGCCGACCGATAAGAGCGACTGAGTGGATGGACCGACCATGAAGAGGGTCGACCGCGGAAGGTCGCCGAGTAGAGGGATCGACCATGAAGATGGCCGACCACGAAGGGTGGCCGAGTGGAGTGATCGACCAGAAGGAGGGCCGACGGCGAAGGGTCGCCGAGTGGATTGACCGACCACGAGGAGGGTCGACCACGAAGGGTGGCCGAGTGGAGTGACCGACCACGAGGAGGGCCGACCGTGAAGGGTGGCCGAGTGGAGTGACCGACCACGAGGACGGCCGACCACGAAGGGTGGCCGAGTGGAGGGACCGACCATGAGGACTGCCGACCGCAAAGGGTGGTCAGGTGGTGTGGTGCGGGGCTCGAGAGGCGGCCGGGAATGTGCTGAAGTGAAGTGGAATGAACATGGAAGGGGAAAGGAGCAGTGGATCGTGGGTGTACACGTGGTAGAATCTCACAGTAGGGGAGATTAGGCGTTGGGCAATAAGTGAAACGATATGTCATTATAGGGTGCTGAAAAGACGGTTTTGCTGGATTTTTTTTTGAAAAATTTCAAACTGGCGAACTTTAATTGTGACCCTTGGAATACGGGCAAACCTTGGGCTTTTGGTATTATCCATTTTACGTACCTTTTTGAAAACAACCAAAATATTCCTATTGTAAACTCCTTCATTGCTAGCGACACACCCCTGCAACACTTTGTGAGTTTTCTTGCACCCGCATCCGAAGCCATTCGCAGATACATGACAAGAATGGCCCAGGAAAAAGCTGGAACCTCCAGGGTTGTTCCACTTGGGGACGACGATGCGGTGGAGTTGGCGGAGCAGTACAGGACGGAGCGGCAAGTGGAGAGGTTAGAGGAACCAGCAGGGTGACCTCGTTCATTGACAATGATAGCGGCTTCGAAGCCAATCAGCCAGGTTGAGCCAGATAACTGGCATATGAAGGCCGACAAGTCAACCGTTACCGCGGAGGAATTGGAGGGTATGCGCAAAAAAGACCAAGTTCCCGCAGAAATAGAGTTAATGTTACCAACACCAATGGAGAGGCCATCCGATGCCCGGCCGGGGGAGTTCGCCTTCTATGAGGAGGCGTTGAAGGGAGGGTTGAGGTTGCCGCTTCCGCAGATAGTAGTGGATGTCCTAAACCGACTGGAAGTGGCGCCGGGCCAACTAATGCCCAATGCGTAGAAGATTATACTGGCCTGTGCAAGTGTGTGGCCGAGGGTGAACGAGGGGGAGGCTATGACAGTGGACGAGTTTTTTGCCTGCTACAAGGCTTCGGGCCAGCAAGAAACTTGGGTCACTTTGTAGGCGGCGCCAGGAAGGGGTCTGGTAGTGGGGCTGCCGTTATCGATTAAGGGGTGGAGGCCGCGGTGGTTCTTCGTGTCCGTGAACGGGGGAGTGGGGTGCGTACGGTATGGAGAGTGTCCACCAAGTCTATGGAGCCGAAGCTGGGGGCTGCAGCGGAGGAGAGGGTGAAAAAGGTGAAGGTATGGAGGGAGAAGGAGGCATCAAATGGGACGATCTCGTTCAGCCGTCAGCTTTGTTTGCCGTAGGATTGGGCCCTCGGCCGACCGGTGGAGATCTGGCACCGGCAGAACTAGAGGCGAGAAGGAAAGTGCAGGAGGCGGAGGATCGGACCATTTTTGCCAAAGCCCAAAAGTTCAAGGAAGCGCAGTTAGGCCCGCCACCAAAACCGGTCACGAGGGAAAGAATCCGACCGCGCCCCAAGCCGCTGGGGGAAAAAGACTTAGGCAGCTTTGAGCCACGACCGCCCCCAGTTGATCCGGTGAAGGAAAGGACAAATAAGGAGGCGGAGGCTTTGAAGAAGAAGAAGAAGAAGAAGAGGTGGGTTCCCCCTTAGGGGGCCTCAGATGTGTCTGGGTTGAAGAGGGTGAGGGTTGGGGGGGAGGTTACCCCCATGGTGGAGGAGGCAAGGGAGAAGGGAGTAGAGGCGACCCCAAAAAGGGTGGGTGTCCCAGACGTGCAAGGGGACAAAGGCCAAGGAGTCCAGGAGGAAGAAGAGCACCTGAGTGCCGTGCCCAAGGTGCTAGTGGAGAGTGGGTTAGCTGGTCCGGAAGAGGGAGTGGAGCAGCAATCCAAGGGGGGTCCTGCGTTCCAAGGAGAGGGGGACAGGCTGACGACTGCTATCTACCATGCTTGCAAGGTGTTTGGGCGACTGGAGGGAGAAGAAGGCCCAGCCAGGGCAGCTGCAGATCGCCTTGTGGGGGTAGTGGACGAAGCAGCCGTGCGCTCGGTGGCCAGGTTCAATGAGACTGAGCTGCTAAGGGGGTTGTGCTCTGCCCAAATGGAGGTAACCACCTTAGCAGGGGCTCTGCTGAGAAAGGTGGAGGCTGCGAAGGTCAAGTTGGAGGAGGCGAAGGCCCAACTTGCAAGTTTTAAGAAGGAGAGTGCAGGCTGGAAAAAGGCTGTGCGAAGCGCGTGTGCCAGGGGTTGGGAAGAGGCTGGGAAGGCAAAAAAGATGGGGATGTTAGTGGTGGTGCAGAAGAATGTTGCCGATCGTGCCCATTTTGAGCTGCGAGCGGTCAAGTTGGAGCTGGAGGATAAACACCGTAGGGTGGTGTCGCTCGAGTTCCAGCTGGCTGGCGAGCGGAAGAAGGTGGAAGAGACGCAGAAAGCCTGCACCATCGCGAACGAGCGATGGGATGAAGCGATGGTCAGCAACGAAAAGCTTCGTGCTCAGTCAATCAAAGAGAAAGAAGAGTTAGATCGCAAGATTGTTGAGTTGGAGCGAGATCTTGCAGACGAGGGCGCCAAGGCTACGACAGAAAAGGCAACGCTAGAGCAGGAGTTGGCAGACGAGCGTGCCAAGGCGGTGGCAGAGAAGGTTAGGCTGGAGAAGGAGTTGGAGGAAGAAAAAACCAAAGCAGCGTTTGAAAAGGCAGCATATCCTGACTTATGCGTCGCAGCAGTAGAGCAATTCAAGGGGTCTCCTAACTTCCAGATTGCGATTGATGCTGTGATCGCCAGTAACCTGGCAAGGGAGAGGCTGGTCCGTCGGGGGTGACCACTGGGAGCAGGAGTGAAGAAGAAGTAATCCAGAGCTTCTAGCGATCGGACTTCTACAAACACGAGATGGCTGAGTTCTGGGACAGTGGCTGGAAGATGTTCAAACGCAAAGCAGAAGAGATGTTCCCAAGCTAGGACTTCAGCAGTGTGCGAATTGACGAAGACGACGTGGCCCAGACCCCCTTAGATGAAGGTGTTGAAGAAGAAGACCTCGTTTCCAGTGAGGAGGAATAATTGAAGTGAACAAAATTTGTACTTAGAGTTGTTTTTGTGTGTTTGTTTTTTTTTTTTGAAGTGCTGTAATAAACTTATGTACAAGGTGCGAATGAATAAACTTATGAGCTATATTTGTGTTTGTCTGAAATGAATTGTTGAATTGCTGTCTTCATTTTTGTGAGTCTGAAATGAATGAAGAATGGTTTGTTGAAGTTACGCTTGACTTGTAAGGAAAGGGGATAAATTGTAAAAGTTGATAAGCAAGAAAACAATCTGACTTGTAAAGGAGACGTGTAAGAATGTCAAAAATATGAAGTTTCAAATTACGCCCAAAAATGTTTTGTAAGAGTGTTGAGAAATGATAGGTTGGTTTGGGAAATGCCAGTCAAAAAGTAAAAACGTAAAGAGTGTCGTAGGAACATGGACCTGGAATTTGACTAAGTATGGTTGGTATGCCACAACAATGAAGTTTACGTGAATGTCCTCGACTGAGTTCTACATCCGTGCTCAGTTTGGGTGAAGCTATGATTAACTGACCCTTCAAGTAATTCAGTAGCTTGAAGTAACTCAGTCTGGCCGAGTTCTTCGGGCTCTGTCTGGCTGAGGCTTTAGGGAACTCAGGCTAGCTAAGCTCGTCATGCTCGGTCTGGCTGAGGCTTGTTATGCTCAGTCTGGCCGAGGCTTGTCGTGCTCAGTCTGGTTGAGGCTTTGTATGCTCGGTCTGGCCGACGTTTTTATGCTCAGTTTGGCTGAGGCTTGTCATGCTCAGTCTAGCTGAGGCTTGTCGTGCTCAGTCTGGCTGAGGCTTTGCATGCTCAGTCTGGCCGACGCTTTTATGCTCAGTCTGGCTGAGGCTTGTCATGCTCAGTCTGGCTGAGGCTGCAATGAAAGTGTTTTTTGAAAGATTACACGAAAATTTGAGATATAAGCTTGTTGTCATTAAAGTGTAGCCCATTGGATCAGAAATTTACATCACATGAGGGGAGAATAAAGTGTGCATATTGTCAAAAGGAACATACAGCAATTTGGACAATACAAAAATATAACTTTTATTGAAAATAGTGCTTCAAATGCTCAGCGTTCCAAGGATGGGGGAGGTCTCGACCTTCCATGTCCTGAAGTCGGTAAGTGCCCGGACGTGGTCTGGCTTTCACAACGTAAGGTCCCTCCCACTTGGTTGCCAGTTTGCCCTGGGTCAGATTTTTTGTGGCAAGAGTTACTTCTCGCAAAACAAGGTCCCCCACGGCGAATTCCCTCGGTATGACTTTGCGGTTGTAGTGTGTTCTCATTTTCTGTTGGTATGAGGCCCGTCTGACAGCGGTTGTTTCTCGGAGTTCTTCGATCAGATCTAGGTCTGCCCGATGCAGCTCTTCAGTTAGTTCTGGATTTGGATGTAGAACCCTTGGGGTAGGCAGACCGATTTCCACTGGGATGACTGCCTTAGTGCCGTATGTTAAGCAAAAGGGGGTCTCCCCAGTGGGAGTTCCGACAATAGTGCGGTAGGCCCAAAGTACATTCGGTAATTCCGCAGCCCAGAGTCCCTTAGCAGCTTCCAGTTTAGTTTTGATGATCTTCAGAAGAGAAAGGTTGGTGACCTCAACTTGGCCATTGGCTTGGGGATGGCCTGGAGAGGAGAAGCATGGCTGGATTTGGAGCTCTGCACAAAATTTCCTGAACTTGGCATTGCCAAATTGTTTACCGTTGTCGGAGACGATGGCTTGAGGAATGCTAAATCTGCAGACGATCGACTACCAGATGAATCTGGTTGTGTTTTGCTCGGTAATTGTGGCAAGGAGTTCTGCTTCCACCTATTTAGTGAAGTAATCGATGGCGACAATGGCGAATTTAGTTTGGCCTCGGCCAGTGGGCAATGGGCCGACCAGGTTGATTCCCTATTTGGCGAATGGGTAGGGGCTGCAGGGTGTGATCAATTATGTAGGAGGAGCATAGGGGATGTTGGCAAAGCGTTGGCACTTATCACATTTGAGCACGAAGTCTGTCGCATCTTGATTGAGAGTGGGCCAAAAATAACCAGTGTGAAGTATTTTGTGGGCTAGGGACCTGCCACCCGAATGATTTTCACATACGCCCTGGATATGGCTGACACCAATGTCTAAGGTATGGGCGTGAAAAGCCCCTCTTGTACAAAAGACCATCGATGAGAATGTAATTGGACGATCGGACCCTGACTTTGGCGGCCTGTTGTTTGTCATCTGGTAGTTCCCCCGTTCTAAAAAATAGAAAGATGTTAGACGCCCAGGGGATAAGTTCATTTTGGAGGAAGTGGACCGCTTGCAGGTCGGGGCATATGGCAGGGTGAGTCAGGTACTCGAGGTGAACACCGTGGCTGAGGTCTGACTGGTCTGCCGAGGCCAACTGAGCCATTTCATCTACCTTGGAGTTTTTTGTCCGAGGGATATGCTTGATGTGGAAATTACTAAAGTGGTGAACGAGAGGGAGTGCAATGTCCCTGTAAGCCCGCATTGTGCCGTTTTTGGCATCGAATTCCCACGTGATTTGGCCGACAATGAGCTGGGAATCGCTGAACACTTGGATATGGCTGACACCAATGTCTTTGGCTAGGCGGAGACCTACTATCAATGCCTCATACTTGGCCTCATTATTGCTTGCGTTAAACAAGAAGCGGAGTGCACATTTAAAATAACCACTGTCAGGGGCTGTGAGGATAAGACCAGCCCCGCTGTCCACTCGAAAGTTTGCCGAAGGATTTTGAAGAAGGGTAGGCACTTGTCCGTTGCGCGGGAAATGAAACGGTTGAGGGCGGTAACTCGACCAGTGAGCCTCTGAACCTCTTTTAACCGTTCTGGATGACTGCATTTCAATCAAGGCCTTGATCTTTTCAGGGTTAGTTTCGATGCCCCGCTGACTGACCATGAAACCCAAGAACTTCCCAGATCCTACGCCGAAGGCGCATTTCTCCGGGTTGAGCTTCATTTGATACTTCCGTAGGGTGCCGAAAGTCTCTCGCAGGTCGGCCAGATGATCAGTGGAGAGCTTGCTCTTGACTAGTATGTCGTCAACATATACCTCCATGTTCCGGCCTATCTGATGATGGAAGACAGCATTGACCAACTGTTGGTAAGTGGCTCCAGCATTTTTCAACCCGAATGGCATCACACAGTAATGGTAGGTGCCCCAGTCGGTGATGAAGGAGGTGTGTTCCTGGTCGGATGGGTGCATTAGAATTTGGTTATACCCAGAGAAAGCATCCATGAAGCTGAGCATTTGGTGGCCCGCCGTGGCGTCAACCAGCAGGTCTATGCGAGGAAAAGGGTAGCTGTCTTTAGGGCAAGCTCGGTTGAGGTCGAAGTAGTCGACACAGAGTCGTCATTTACCATTGTGCCTACGAACAAGAACCACATTCGACAACCATTTGGGGTAGTCCACATTTGTGAAGAATTGTGCCTCAAGAAGCTTGTCTACTTCAGAAGCAATAAGGTTATTGCGCTCCAGGTGAAAGATGTGCTGTTTCTGGCAGATGGGTCGGAAATGGGGCTCAACGCTGAGTCGGTGGGTGATGAAGGAAGGGTCAATACTTGGCATATCGGAGTCAGTCCAGGCAAAGACGTCGTTATGTTCAATCAGGAGGGCGGTGAGGTTGGCCTTGGCCTGGGAGGACAGTTGGCTGCTAATCTTGGCAGTTTTTGTCGGGTTGGTGGGGTCGATGGAGACCTCGATAAGCTCTTCCACTGGTTCCCCTCTGACCATCTCATTCTTATCCCTGACGTCAAGTCTTTCAATGATCATGGTCTCCTTAAGCTTAACTTCTTTAAGTGAGGCAACATAGCATTAACTGGCTACAGTCTGCTCTCCCCTGACTGTGCCGACCCCAAGATCGGTGGGGAACTTGATGACAAGATGGAAGGTGGAGGTGATGGCTTTGAAGGCGTTTAGGGCGGTGCGGCCAAGGATGATGTTGTAACTAGAGGGGCAGTCGACAATGAGGAAGGTGAGCAGCTTTGTGGTCTGCCTAGGGTATTCTCCGATTGTGATGGGAAGATTGATGGAGCCGATGGAGGTCATCCGATCACCAGTAAAATCGACCAATGGAGTTTGGAGAGGGGACAAGCTTTCTTCCCCGATCTTGAGTTGGCGGAAGCAGTTTAAGAAAATGATATCGGAGGAACTACCATTGTCGACAAGAACCCTTCTGACCTTGTAGTTGGAGAGGAGGGTAGAGATGACGAGAGGGTCGTCATGAGGGTAACGGATGCCTGTGCAGTCGGCGTCCGTAAATGTGATAGGCTCCGTCCACTGCTTGGGCTGTTTGGAGGGTCGATCCAATGTGGCAACTTCTTTGTCTGAGCCTTGCCTTATTTTCTTGAGTTCTGTCCGCTGAGCCGAGTGAGATGGTCCTCCACAAGCAAGCCACTGGAAAAAACTCTGATTTCTCCAACAGGTGGGGCAGGATTACCTTGCGCCCGAGGTTGCTGTGGAGGGCGATCATGGCCCTGGTTAGGTTGGGTTGGCTGCCGGGGAGGGGTGCGCCAGCAGTTATTTCTGATGTGCTCAGTCCTTTGCCTCTGCTGAGGGCGGGTGTCCGTGAACCGACTAAGACGTCCTTGACGTATTAAGGTCTCGACCTGATCTTTGTGGTTAACACACTCATCGGTATTATGGTCATGGTCTTGGTGAAAATGATAATATTTGGACTGGTCTTTCCGATTGGAAGGGATTTGTGATGGTTGGGGCCATTTGAGGGGGTAGTCCCGCTGAATCTGATTGAGGACTTGTTCCATGGGGGAATTAAGGGGTGTGTAC